CAGATAATCATCCTTTTTATCAGTACTTTTAGGTGTTTGCTAATCAAAACCATGCAGGACTTCCACCTAAAATACACAGTAATATTTTAACTTTTGTACCCAGTGGGCCAGGTGCAATGGGACTCACTTGATACTAGTTTAAAAAGCCCACTGGAGACTTGCACATTTCCTGTCATCATCTGCTAAGAACTGGTGACCAACAGTTTGAAATGTTCTGCTCAGTCAAATAAAGTATTTTCTCTTTAAATAAGCATACAAAGCTCATCTGTCTTTCAGGAGTGTGATCCAGAGTCAAAGCCAACAATATTTAAGCAACTAGGTCAGAAAACCCCTCTTGGATTGACTAAAAAAAACCCAAACCAACCAACCAACCAACCAGAAAACCAAAACCCAAACTCCTTGAGCTCACTGACTGAACTGAAACACAAAAGCACCCAAAGGTGAATAAAGATTCCAAATAGAGGATACTAACTTTTAACCAGAAAAGATACCATAACCACAGAGTAACTGCAAATCAGACCATACGATTTTCTCATTTGCTTCCACTAAAATCACAGAATCACAGAAGGGTGGGGGTTGGAAGGGACCTCAGGAGATCATCTAGTCCAACCCCCCCACCCAAAGCAGGTTCCCTACAACAGGCTGCACAGGAAAGCGTCCAGGCAGGTTTTGAACATCTCCAGAGATGGAGACTCCACAACCTCTCTGGGCAGCCTGGTCCAGTGCTCTGGCACCCTCACAGTAAAGAAGTTTTCCCTTAAGTTTGTCTGGAACTTTCAGTGTTCCAGTTTTTACCCATTGCCCCTTGTCCTGTCACCAAACTCTCCCAAATACCTTTAATTTAGTCAAAGAAATGCTTGTCAACAACCTACCTAGACCTTGGAGTCATCTTTGTGGGTGACTGAAAACTATCAGAGAATTTGTATGGGCTCTTCAAGGGTGAGATGTAGATGTTATTGCCAGCAGGGACACGCCGAGGAGAGTTGGAAAACTGGTAAGGGCTGCGAGGAATGTGTGGGATAGGTGACAGAGTGGGAGGCTATAAAAATAATAAAACAGTCATGAGGTTTTATTGTCTATATATTCCCACTCTATTAAATAATGACTACTGAACACAACTAACAGCTTACCCTGTTGGAGGCATACTGCAAAATGTTCGTTTTCAGCTTCTGCATAAACACTAAGTTGTAGAAGACTATGATGGAGTCATACTGTTCTTCCCTGATAAGAACACGCTTGAAAGTCTACACAGGGTAAGAAAATCATACACAGATTACAAAAATAGGGGTGAAAATTTTATATTGGACCAGCTCAAAAAGCCATTGTAACGTCTGTGTTAGGTAAGAGCTAAGATGGTATGTCTGTTGTACAAAAGCCTTTGTAACTAATACTTAGAACTGTTCTAAATTGCTAGGTTTTTCCCAAACACCTATGAACATCAGTAAAATCATCTACTGAATGAAATGGCACAGCCCCCTTAGTGCAAATGCAGTTCATCAGCACTTAAAACAACATTTTCCAAATATGTCTATTTGATACCTAACCATATTTTTATTTAAAGCCTCTACAGCAAGTTTTCCGATTCTCTTCCCTCAACGCTCCATGGAAGTCAGGGGGCTCTTAAAGGAACTTGGGTTGCTTTTAAAAATCCTACTAGCTCTAGACCTGAATCATTAATCTAGTCTCCATACAGAATCATAAACTGTTATTTAACATCTTTAAATAAAAAGGTGCAATGAAGTTTGCTTTCTGAGGAGAGTTACCAAACTATTTGTGCGACATATTTCAAGAGACATTTAGTATTAGAGCCAGATTTCTCCACCAGAAACAGAGATGGAGTGAAAAAGAAGTTTTCTTTTGTATGTTCATGTGTAGTTTGGTGGTGTTTTTTTTTATTTTAGACACAGAGAAACCATTAGTTTATAACATTTTTATGGAGGGATGACATTAAAGAATTTCCATACCTCTTGATTTGTGTTGGGAAGCTCCTTGTATGCCGAAACTATTATTTTAAATCTAAGATCTACATTCTTTACTTTGCATATGCCATACATGGAACACATCATGATCTATTAAAGAAACAAGACAAGACAACTGGAAATGCAGCAAATTAATTCAGCTTCTTAATTTCAAATTAAAAAAACAATTGATGAGCTTTCTATTACTGATGGTGCTATGTAAACCAGCATGCAACTCAATTTTATATGAACTTCCAGAAAATAAGTCAACTACTTTTCCCTCCATTTCTGTATGACAACCAACTAATTGGAGCTGATAATATCTTCTCAAACTTGTTTCACATGCTGCAATTTTAGGGTAGAAAAACATAACATGGATCAGCCACACATTTTGTATTTAAAAAAAAAAAAAACAAACAAAAAATAACAAACAAAAACCATCAGTATTTTCTTATGCAAATTAATAGAAAATTTGCTCTCTCCATTATCGTGAAAATAGCTGTGAACAGCATTTCGAAGATCCTACGGTAAGTAACTGCTAGTACTTAAAAAAACCTGAGACTACACTTTAAATTAATTTATCCTTTGATTGATTAATAGATAAATAAAAACTCAGAATATAATTACTAATGGTTAAAGAATATAAAAGGGAGTTTTGTTCAGGAGTCTTTCTAAACTTTTTAAAAAAATTTTTAACATTACCTGGTCCAAGTGCCTGTCTCTCATAAGCTCATATTCATTTTGCAGCGTGTGCTGGAAGAGGGTCCAGATCAGGGGTTCCAGGTCAGGATGGTCAGAGAGAAGCCGAAAGAACAGGGTATGTAGTCGAAGATAGGCCAGGAGATACACTTGAGAAAGAGAGAAGAAAAATAAACTGAAATGGTAATAACAGGGGCATGCAAAATAAAAGGAGCATGATGGAGGATGGACAGCAAGTGACCATGTACTGTCTCGCACTACAAGAAGTACGAGCCATCAAATGAAGGTGGGAGAAGCCAGGTTCAAAATAAATGGAAAAGATTCTTCATACAACAGGAAGTGGATACACAGAAGTCCACACCAAACAATGCTGCACATGTATGCTTATGTTGATTCAAAAAGAGTCTGAACAAGCACCTGGAACACAAATCTACTGAGAGTTACTAAGTGGACACATGGCAAAAGGCTCAGGAAAACCCTCGTGCTGGAGAAAGTCAAAGCTTGGGAAAGCATTCAGGGGAAGCACCATATATGCTTGCCCAGTTCTTAAGCTTCCCATGACATCTCTTCATAGTCACTGCTGGATAAAGGATGCTATGACAGAAGAACCCTCCATCTGAGCCATATGGCTATTCTTACATCAATAGGTAAGTTTTCAGTTCAAACTTGCAGCGTGTAGAGTGTGTGCACTAACCTGCTGGCACCGCTTTACCAGAGGCAATTGAGGGTTTGTTTGCATGGTGTTTACTATAGATTCTATTATGATCTTTTAAGAAATGCTGAGCTCCAGAAACCCAAAAAGGATAAATAGCAAGAGGTAACTTTGCAATTTCAGCACGGAGAGAAGCAACAAACCTTTTTTGTAGAACAGAGAGAGGGAGGTAGATTTTTGTGGTTTCTGTGTTTGGGGGGTCACAGTTGGTTGAGCATCTGGAGTAGAAGTAGCAGTTGGAGGAGGTCCCGATGCTTTCTTCTTAGGAGATCTCACAGGAGAAAGATAGCTGTAGATTCAACATATATTAAGCACTTAACGTCACAGGATAAAGGAACAATTTTATATAAATAACATTTGCAGAATCTCTTCCCACTTCCCCCATTATAAGAAATTAATTGCTACTGTAACCTGTTATTCCCATATCAGGAATTAAAAATTCGAGTTATTTATTAAATATCTAGTAAAGGGACTTATTTATTCCTAAGCAAGTAAGAGAAGAGTTTGCAATTACAAGTTTGATAGGGTTTGGAAAAAAAAAAATCAGAATTTGATTTAGCTAAATTTACCTGTATAATAAGCAGCAGCAAATACAACAATTCAACACAACCTAAGTACCAAGTAGGAAAACAGAATACAAGTGGATTTAAATATTATGGGTGATGTTAAATTCACATTAACTAGACCTCAAGCACACATGTCACTTACAGGTCTGCTGCAGTGTGATTATGCTGGAGAGGCAGATTGAGAGTGGAAGTAGGCTCAGGCTGATCAGTTTGGCCTTCTCGTTCTTTTGACTGCTTGATAAGATCGAACAGAGGTGACCCCTAGAAAAGTGACAGCAACAGTACATTATACTGAGAATGGACAACCACACTGGATAGATTTTGTTCCTTCTTCTCTAAAAACAACCCCCAAAATATGATCCTAAAGAGAAGATTAATGCTTTGAAATTCTTCCAACACACTCATATTTTGCCAGAAAAATTTTAACTATTAAATACACCAAACACTTTTTCTGTTTCAATAGCAGTCCAACAGATATAGGCAAACTGCAGAGGTAAGACATGGTCATATTCTAGGGTCTCTTATTACTTCTTATTACTTATTACTATTAAATAAGTCATTCTTGAAAAGAAGAGCAAACGATACAACAAAATACATAAAAGGTCACATTTCCAGGAAAACAAAACAAAGCAAAACAACAAACCAACCACCACGTCAGTGACTAAAAGTTACTGCTGTATCTAGTGTCAATCCATTGCTGCTACAACTTCTACCCAGTACCTCACATATTATAATATACGAAACATCTAATGGCACTGGAGACTATTTCTGTCTCCACAGTATCATGTTCCAGAGCTACCTCTGGCAAGAGTTATAGTCACTCGGGATACATTAAGTCTGCGCCCTCATGCCCAAAAACCAGTTTGATTTTAGGTCAATTATCAGTACTTTAGGTGAGGCAGCTGGGGTAAGTCTGAACCTACTAAGAGCCTGAGGCAGGAGGTGATGCAGAGAGGATGTAAGGAATGGAGAAGGTTCTGGCTGAAGCAACGTCAGTACTATTGCTGATGTTAGTAATAAACAGCAGTCTTGCAAAAACAAAATCTCAGGCTTTTGCTGCTTGCTCTGTCATGTACAGGGTAGAATTATGCTGAGACAGCAAGACTGCATGGGAAAATATTTTGGCACCATATCCACAACTAATTTTGAAAACACAGGATTGCTGGCTTCTAGTTTTTTTATTTTCTTTAAACACGAGACTCATCCTTGAGCACAATGTTGCCTTCCAACAGTGCAGTATCAGAACTCCAGAAGCAAGAGAACATTTCATTAGCAAATATCTGCCTTCTTGGGGAGGAAGCAGTGTCCAGAAGAGTGGGAATAAAATGGACAAAACGAAACATTCAGTATTTTCCTCCAAATGATACCCCCAAAAGACAGAAGTAAAATCAATCAGCTCAATACTCTGTACATAATGCGTCATCCAATTGCCCATGGTCTATTTGATCCTACGAACACATGTAACTAATATTAAAATAAGATGGCACAGATGACAAACCTGTAGCTACAACAACAAACAGGAGCACAACACACCTGTAAAGCATGCTGCATCACCTGGCTAAGGCAGTAAGAAAAGGCCTAGTAAAACTAGACTAGATTTACTAGAATTAAAACTAGTATTAAGACTTTTCTCATTTAGCCTCATTTCTAAAAAAAAAAAAAAGAACACTGAAGTGCATCAACTAAAAATTCAGAGTAACAAGATGAGAGTATGAGAGTGACTTGAGATTTACAATTTCTCACATTGTGTAATTTTTAAATTATGATTTTGGCAATACTGGAGCTGTTCAATCCATAAAAGAAAAACATCAGTTACTGACTCATAACCACATAGTTATTTCTCCATCATTTCTCAACCAGATCAGCTCTTGGGCTGGTTTGCATCATCTTTCCCAGTACTTAAGAGTCCATGCACTTCTCACTTGCTTTGTTCAGCGCTGCCCTTGCTGGAAATGCAGAGACACGACCTTCTCCACTTCTCATTCTTCTGGCCACTAGGCCTCTTCCTTTTTATTATTCCCATCAGTGTTTCACTATGCTCTGAAGAATCCAAGTTTCTTTCCCAGAGCAATCATTAATCCACTGCTGAAACATGTCTTGATTCCTTGACTAAGAGTGAATCCCGCTTCATTCATTTCACATTTTAGCTATTAATGACTGGGAAAGTATTGTTTTAATGAAGTGCCAGCAGGAGGAAAAGGGGTTGATAAAGGAGAATGAGAGATCAAGACACAGAAGTAAAAGTTACTATTTTTGAAGTTAGCACTAGAGACCAGCAGTTCCAGTCCTCTCTCAACTCTGCTCCAGTTATCACTACAGAGTGTGATTTCATTAGATAAGGTGAGGGGACACAGCAGCTTGCTATCTGTGGAAAGGATCTGCCTGCTTTTCCATCATTTCCACTCCTCCTCTTTTACTTGCCAGCCCTGACAATCAGTCAACCTCCACATAAGTCAATTTGATGCTCTAAACCAGCAGAAAGTTAACAGTAAAAGCAAAACCAGATTTATGCCAGCTCTGCAGAGAATGACAAGCAGAGCCAGAAGGAGCATTAAGACAGGGCAGCAACACCACAAAGGCTGGGAGCAAAGCAGGAAAGAACAGAAAACGGGGAATATGAGGTGTCCCGCACTTACTGACAACAATCTGTTCAACCAGCTGATCAGCATGTGAAACTTTATCCCACAGGACTTTAAGAAATGCACTGCTGCTTTCCCTCAGTTAGATGAACTACAGTTAGCTAGAGGATATTCTTTGTGTAGAAACATCAACTTACAGCAACTGAGCAGCAAGATGCAGCGAGTCCGATACATCTTTTATGGCTTCCACAAATACTAATTGACACAGTGGTTAAAAATGTGTCAAGATAAATGGGATGTTGTCAGCCAGCTGGTCCCCAGCAGCACAGATCAGCCAGCATCAGCAATGGTTAGGTGTGAGAAGCCACTGACTCAACACATGCCCTTGGGCAAACCACAGTCAAGTCGCTACCCTGACTGCAGGAACTTTGCTAGCATCGCGCTTGCAAGAGGCAGGAAAAGGTTATTTAGTTTTCAGACCTGGTGAAATTTAAGGTGGGCGTTCTGCTGATCACAATTTCCACTTTAGCTGAAGCCCTCTGTGCTCTTGCCCCAGGGACCCCTACCACCCTCACTGATAGCTTGCCAAGCGCACAGCCACGCAGTTGGAAAAGAAAAGTAGGTGCTACACTGATGAGACTGGTGCCTCACAAAAAAAAAAAAAAATCGAGTATGCCAGAAGGTAGAAATCACAGAGATGAATTTTCACAAATGCATTTACCCCCCCCACACTGCAAAACTGATGGGTTTAATTACAACCATCCCTCCTTTCTTTATCTTTAAATATGACAAATACTTCTATTTAGTGAATCGGAAGTGCAATCTGCAGCTTGCAGGGAGTTTTCAAACTTATCAGGGCAAACTGTTCAGCTTTAGTCCCACTACTTAGTATTCAACAATCTACCTCTCACTTGAATGAGCAAAATATAATGTCACTAAGCAGACAATTACCACTCCTTTAAGTAATAGTCACAACAGAACTTTAACCCCCGGGTTCAGCTTTATTGAACAGGAATGTTTATCAGTAACTTGTTTCTCAAGCGACATTATTCACACCACCTTTTACAAATTTTATATTGCTTTTTAAAGCTTTTAAGCAGCACTTCAGGTCAACGGGTCACCTCCAATGCATTCCTTTCACATGAAAGGAATTTTGCAGATTTTACTTTAATTTAATGTTCAGTGGGTGATTAATGTTACTAGATGCAGCCACAAAATAAATTTTACTAATTAAGTAAAATGCTGCTTTTCATCTGAGACTTCCCCATGATGGCTATAGCAGCCTCATTTTATTAGTGTGAAAAGGGAGAAACCAATTAAGGCCCAAAATTTCTCAGGGTCAAACAGCCAGTGGCATAAGAATGAAGAATAAGACTGGAATTTGACTCATTCCCCTCTCACACTACCCAGGGCCAACGAGAACTCTGAAACGCTACACTCTGAATTCAGCAGGGCTTTGTTAAGTGAGCCTCCATAGGATGCTTCCCTGCAGCAACACCTGCATCACAAGCATCTGCAGTGATTCTTCCTGATCTCAAAGCTCCTTTTATGGACAAAACAGGCAGAATTTCTTGTTGGCTAATCTTTATTTGGCTATGGTGAAAACTACAGGGGACACAAGTGCTTCCCAGCTTCCTGATCTTTACATCAGCTCTGTCCCAACAACATCTTTTAACTGGACTTTGGTTTCCATGAAGAGATTAAACAAAAGACCTAAATACTTAAATATGGGGAACTACTACCCTGAGGTTTGGGCATACTCCACTGACTACAGAGCAACTCCCTCAGCAGCTTTACTTTCAGTAGTGCTAATTATCAGTTTGCAGTATTTTAAAAACTGCATTTGTCTTTGTTTTCTATTGCTTTATGCTTTTTATTCTTTATACTAATTTCCTAATCTATTTTCAGGTTTTAGTTATTTGTCCACAATAAATTTTAATACATTGTTTATCACCAAACTATGTGTATATCTTAACACCAAGCTCCCTTGTTTGGCTGGTTTTAAATAATCAACACCACCTCAAATTATTGAATCAGTCAATACAATACATAATGTTAAGAAATGTTCCTCTTCATAATTTGCTAAAAGATGGATGTGATTTTGCAAGGCAAAACAAAGCCGATTTAGAATTGACAGCTTTGGAATGGAAGTGCAAGGACTGGATCAGCGTGAGCTGTTTCCACCCCTATTTCCCCAGACAGAATCACACGCTCAGAAAATTGACTTTTGTTTGCAATTGTATTTTCAAAGGCTTCATGTGACAATTAGCATTCAGAATTCTGAAATAATTGAGGCCTGCCAAAACAAAATATACTTCAGTCTAAATTTAAATAGTATTTACCATGAAAAACCTGTAAGATTAAGGACCATGGCTTAATTTTATACATATGAGATGTGTTACATAAATTATGTTCCTATTAGGGCTTGTTCTTATAAAATTTATAAATAAAAATATTAACAACTGCAGCATTAATGGCTTAAATCATATAAGAATAATGACAGATCTGCTTTCAACTCCTTAGAGCAAATGGATGTTTAATACAAGTCCTATTCCTACCTGACTCACGTCCAGCATTTAAGATCAAATAATACTGTCATCAAGCTTTGTTAGAATTACCTGTTACCTAAATGCACAGTATACAGAGGGGAAAAAAAAAAGCAGAAACAGTGAGTGTTAATTA